TATGCTAAATTCTTCAATTTTTTTATTGTTGTCATGACTATTATTTTGCACATTTTCATTTTATTAGAAACCAATGCCATGCTAATTTTTGATGAAAGGAATGTCATTTCGCCAACTCAATTGCCCTGACCGATGTGTTACCAACTCAATCAGAATTCCATATGGTTATACTTTACAGATATGCTATACTCCTCATTTTTTTTGACATTGAAAGGAATGTCATTTCGCCAACTCAATTGCCCTGACTGATGTGTTACCAACTCAATCAGAATTCCATATGGTTATACTTTACAGATATGCTATACTCCTCATTTTTTTTAACATGCCCATTTGTATGCATTCAAGTTTACATTTCAGTTTTGCCATATGCTACATTCTTCATTCTTCATTATTCTGAGATATTTTTTTTGGGACCCTAACTTTGTAAAAAAAAAATTTGTAGGAATTCCATTTGCTCTTGCTACTATCATTTGACCTCATGGCTTCCTCATCTGCTCCTATTCGCAAGAGGCCCCGAGGTTCTTGTCTTCATGGAAAGTATTTCTCTACAACTGCTAAATATGCCACATTCAAGCAACATTATGCCTCCCATCAACTCATTGCTCCAAAATACTTGGATATACAATTCATGAGTGATGAAGGCTTTGAAATTTGTGATCTCCTGACTCATGCTCGAGTCCTACGATTGACTCTCCTCCATGATAAATATTCAGAAGATATGGTTCGGGCCTTCTACTGCACTGTGAGGTTTGCAAATGACACACTCAACGCCGACATCAAGGGCAAGTCCTTTTCTGTTCCACCTGAGGAATGGCCTTGTATATTTGGTCTTGCCTATGACGGACACAAGTATGGTGAGTATGCTTTCCCTGAATATGACAAATACACCTTTACACAGTCAATTGTGGAACCCGGCATCATAGTTACTCAATCAAAGTTTAGCGTCTCTTTGTTGACTATGAACAACCGGATCCTGCAGTACGTAGTCACTCACATGTTGTCGCCGCGGCCCTCTAACTACTCTCGGGTGCTTGATGCTGATATCTTTCTGATGTGGGTTATCCGTTCTGGAATTAGTTTCAATTGGCCCTATTATATCTGCTCTCAAATGGTTAAATCTAAGAACTCTTCTGGTGCACTTCCTTATGATACTGCAATTATTGAAATTCTGCGTCATCAGCAAATCTTTCTGGATGGTGAGATTCTGTCTGATGACTTGAACAGCCTTGGAATGCATTTGCTGGCCCAAATGCAAATTAAAAAAATTAATGGTATATGGTGTAAAACAATTGCTCCTCCTGAAGCCGGCGAAGCCCCTGCTGATATTGCCGAGGACCATCCTCCACATGATCCTCCGGCTGATGATCCTCTTATGGACTCTTCTTCCTCAACTGATCATACTTTGGCTTCTATTCTCACATCTCTTAATCTCTTAAACGCTAATGTCAAATCTGGCTTTGCTTCTGTAAACTCCAGGCATGCTAATATGGAGCTTCGTCTGAAGCGCATTGAGGACTATCTTCACATTCCTCCTCTTCCATCTCTACCACCACCGCCTCCACATGACTCTGATGATTTTTAGTCCCTGTTTTTATTTGTTTTATGCTTTTGGACTTATTTTTTTGCTATGCTACTTTGGACATTTTGCATCTCTAGGACTCTAGCTTTATGGACTATGGTTGATTAGGATATGGAATATTATGACCTCTTGTGGATTATTATGTTTTCTTCTTGCATGATTTATTTCAAGATTTCTATTTATCCGGTTATGCTTTTTGATGTTGCCAAAGGGCGAGAAAGATACGTAAATTGAGAAAACCATAGGCATATATTAAGGTAAAGAGGGGGAGAATAAATTCAAATATAAAAAGGGAGATTACATGAAACCCAGATTTTCACTTATATATCAATCACACATTAAGGGAGAGTTTCAATACTATATTTGTCTAAATACATGCTATACTAATCCTTTTTCTCAATTTGAGTTTGTCATCATCAAAAAGGGGAAGATTGTGGAACCAATGCACTCTACGAAAAGAACATAAAGGTTCAACGATTTTGATGATAACAAACAAGCATGGAAATAAAGCTTCAAGGTGCAACCATCAAAAAGAAGTCTAAACAAGATCAAGAATCAAGCTTCAAGAGAAGTCTCTAAGTCCAAACTCAAAATAATATATAGGACTTAGGATTATTTGTAAATTGATTCCTTACATGAACGAAGCTCAAAGTACTTTTTGAAATACATGCATTAAATCATCGTTTGACACTCAAATACATTCCTAGCATGAAAACATAGTTTTCAATGTTCATAAAATGTTTAAACAATATTTGAAACTGATGTGAATCAAGAGAAAATCATTTTAGGGCGAAATCCAACCTTTCAACAGGTTGGTAATCGGTTACCCAACAATGGTAATCGATTACCCTTCATGGTAATCGATTACTCAAAGACAAAAATAACGGCTATAAAACGGCTAGTTTGTGAAAATGAGTAGGAAAAAGGCCATGGGGGCCCTCTATAAATAGAGACTACTGTTCCGATTGATGGGACACACTTCTTGATCATTATTACTCATTAATTCTCATCCTATTTGCATTATTCTTGTCTTCTTGATCATAAATTCTCTGTGATCTTTATTCTAGTAAGAGTGTCAACAACTATTGTTCTTCAACTTGTGTTATTTGTACTTTGAGAGTACTTAGCCATTATTAAACACATTCCTTTGATTTATTGAGTAGTTAGGGGAGTGAACCCTATACACTTAAAAGGTCACGAAATTCCTAAGAAAATTTGGAGTGAAAAATTGTAAGGCATCAAGAGCCCGAAGTCTTGAAAGGTTGTAGTGGTTTATCAAGCACCCTCAAGATTGATAGTTAGTGAAAAGAATTGATCGAACGGCTTCAGCCTGGACGTAGGTCACGGTGATGGTGACCGAACTAGGATACATCTAGTTTGCAATTTCTCTAACCTTAATCTCTTTATTTAAGTATTAAAATTGCATTTTAGATTGTCTTTATATATTCGCTTGCTTACTTTGTTGATCACTACACTTGCCCTCACACTTAAATTTTTCCTTATTAAATCACTCTATTGAAGAAATAGTCTTTAAAATATCAAAGGAGGTACTTTGCGAAAAGATGTTGTAAAACTCAATTCACCCCTCTTGAGTATTGAAGCCACTTGTCCAACAAGGGTGGATTTCCAAGAATCACACGTTTTATAGTACATTGGAGAAAATTTTCTTGTGAAAGTGATTTTTCCGGAATTCCATTTTCTGTGTAAAAGTGGAACAAAAATCCAATCAAAAAATACCACCCGGTGGTATTCCGACTTTCTAGATAATATGGAAAATTAGGTCCAAAAATTGTGACAAAATTAACCCTCAAGTTCTCTCCTCTCTGACCTTCCATCGACCGCCTCTTTCTCATCTACACCATGAAGCCACCGCCACATATCCATCTTCTTCATCAACCACCTACACCACCTTCTGGAATAGTATTCATGGGACGTCCACAGAACTCTAGAACCAGCTAAATGAATGATATCTTTATTCTTCTTTTGAACTCTATAAAAACAGGATTTCGATTGTGAATGAAGATTCCGAGTTTACAAAAGTTCACCGATCTGAGGAGAGAAAGGAGAACAGTTCTGGGTCTTTGTGTCGATGAACGTTGTGTAGAGTGGAGATGCTTCGGCGATAATGGATTGAGATGGGTAAGGTTAATTTTGTAAAATCATCTCATATTCTCAGTAATATTTGACAATCAACCAAACATAGAATCAGTAATCTTGAGTTAATATTTCAGGTAATATTTTGGCCTACCAAATAGCTTTTCGGTAACATTTTCGAAAAACTCATTTTTCTACCATATTCTCGAAAATCATGATTCTCAAATAATAAAAAAATCTATTTACTAAACGCCCCCTTAGTATTTTGTGTTACTATTGTAAATTTGCAACATATGTGATCTTATTTTTTTTATTTTGTTCCTCAGTTTATTTTTTTTAATTTAGACATATTTGATATCTTTTTCTTTTTCTTTTTTATGTTCAATCTTTTCTATAAATGCTATAAGTTTCTAACATATTTTACCATCATTTTTTTCCTCAGTCTATTTTGTTTTTCAAAGAAGGATAAAATATGAAAAAAAAAATAGTTAGTTTTCAAACGGAATAAGGATGAGTTTGGATGAAAAAAATCATAGGAAAATAAGAGATTAAAATAGAAAAATATAGGAGGTAAGTGAATCAAAATAAAAACATAGAGCGTTTTTAACTTTTTTGTGTTTTTTATATGGGATCTAATTATCTAATGTTGCATGAGATAATCAGAGACAAAATAGTGAGATCCATCATTTAAAAAAAATAGTAGATCTCACTATTTTGTCTCTGTTGCACATTAGATAATTATTTTTCTTTTTATAATTGAGATGGTATTGGGTTTTATTATTCTATTGTTATACATACACGATCGGATGCTATTACCCGGATTAGGTATTTTTTTTTCCTCCGAAGTATCCATCAGGTAAAAGTTTAATGTTGAAAAAACAAATTACAGGTCATAAATTATTAATTCACACTTCCATGAAACAAATTTATTGGAAAACAAACAAGAACTTGAAAAAAATAAAATAAAAATACAGTAGTTACTCATACAAGTTAAGGACCAATTCGGTTCATTTTATCCCATACTAATAAGTTTTTTTTTCCTCTCCATTTAAACAGGTAACATCATTTCGTGGATACAAAAAACTAGCTTGTTTACCCATGTATTTATATATAAGCCTCTTAAAACATCTTTCACCTCTAAACCTACGAAACTGACTTTCTAATTCCTATAAGCACGAAGCAAGGACATCGCAAGTATGTTTATTTCTCTGCCTATAGTGAGATCCTGTACAAACGATTTTTTTTTTGATTTTTTTTTTTTTTTTAAGGGATATCCATAGTTGTGATTAGGTTGAAAGCCAGAAACAGAGCTCATGATTTATGCCTTTCATATCATTGAGAGAATAGAATTTAACCTATATAAACTCACAATTTCCGTAAGGATGCAACAAAAACACCTGGCCTAAATAAATAATTGAATTTGGCTAAATTAAATGACAAAAGGCGTATATTAAGTGCTTGCAAGATGAAGTATCAAAATTTTCCAAGTGATTATAGGAGCCATCCAGCTATTCATTCATAGAGTGTTTTTGCAGATTGAACTCTACTTTTTTTGTTGTCATTCTTCAACATTTTCTGAGAAGACTTCTCATTTGCGCATATAGCTTTTGCCATTGCCTTCCTCTTTCGGACATTTTTTGTTCTCTTCATAGGCCTTACTTTCTGCTTCATCTTTCTGTTCCAGAAGAGGTCAATAATTAGAGGTAGCAATTTAGAACTAAGTATTAAAAGAGCAGGCACATGTATTTGAAAAAGCAAATATAACGCAGTTTTAATCATCAGATAGTAATCTTAACCTATGATGCAACGACATTTCAAAAATTTTGACGTGTCGTGTCCGACATTCCCCGACACTCCAATACACGTTGCAGAGACTCAAAAAAGAATTCAAAGTTTGCATTGCGTTGCGTTTTTATTCTAACTATTAGATTCGTTGAATTGCAATTACTATTTTATTGAGTTTAATATAAATATTTGAAATATCTTATTTTTCTTTGCAAAATTGATGGGTATTATAAGTTTAGCTTCATTTTTTTATTAAATTATTAAATATAATATACACTACATAAATTGAAAATTATTTAATATTAAAATGTGTCCTAACATGTTGAAATTTAATATTTTTTAGAATTAACGTATCAGAATATTGTGTCGTGTTCAATGTCCCATGTCAATGTCGGTGCAACATAGATCTTCACTGCATTTAAGGGCTAACAAGCGGCGTATGACAGATTTAAGCATAATATTTTGCAAATAAATCGAAATCATGAAGCAGGTACAAGATATTTACCATACTCCCTATTTGAGGTGCCACAAAGTAAAATAAAATTTCAAGGGGAAAAAAAAAACTTCACATCTTAAGCTCCGCACCAGAGGACATTGGTAACAATTAACTTAAAAACCAAGAAAAAATAGAAGAGCAAAACAATGCAGGAGTATTAAAGAAAATATCATTCATATGTCATTTGACATAGAACTTACACTGTTTTTTATTGAACACAAACATTTAACTTATAAAAAAAAAAGTAAATACCCTTATCGGTCCTCAGCAAATTTTACGATGCCCGCTATAGTTCCTAACAAATAAAAAGGCTATTCATGGTCCCTAAGAAATTCAAAGTGGACCCATTTTAGTCCTTTTGAGGGACTAATGTGGGTCTTTTTTGAATTTGTGAGGGATCACGATTTCAACTAAATGGGTCCATTTTGAATTTTTTAGGGACCACAAATAGCCTTTTTATTTGCTAGGGACTAAAGCGGGCATCGTAAAATTTGCTGAGGACCAAAAAGGATATTTACTCTGAAAAAAAAAAAAAAAAGAGGGCGAGTCTGGAACAATGGTAAAGTTGTTCCTTTGTGACTAAAAGATTACGGGTTCGAATCCGGGAAACAACCTCTTTGAAAATATGCAAGGGTAAGACTGCATACAAGGATTGCTCTCATCCATAATCTCGCTAACCGGGGTTTAATGGGGAGTGGTTTACAAGCATTAAACTTACATTACGAATCAGCGTTGACAACATATTGCTACGCACAATAACTCACAAGAAATCAGGGCATCATGCATCAGCCACATTTATACTATATCCTTGCAACTAAACTAATTAGAGGGGAGGCAGCACATATTGCCTTGGACACCTCTTTAAAAGACTTAAAGAAGAGAAAAACTTAACAGGTATTTCCTTTAATACATTACAAATAAATGCCATATGCAAGAGGGAACCTAAATTGTATGCACTGCTAGAAAAGAGAAGATACATAACTCAACTCTGAATCCACCAAACCATATCATGTTCAGAAGGAATCGGACAAAGACCCTTCAGAGCTGACAAGTATCCCACTCTGACCTAGCCTATTTTCCTGACCAACTTTCTCTGTAAAAACAAGTGTACCTTGTCCAAAGTTTGCTCTGATTCTAGAAAGAAATAAGAGGGAGAACAGAAAGAAGTTTTTCTACCAACACCACAAAATCCTCCTCACTTAGCTATCTCTCGAAAAGTGGAGAGGAATAAAAAGTGGTAATTACAGTTTATTCCATTTTATCTTTATAAGCATCCAATGATTTTCTCCTAAAATTTTGAAAATATTCATATCTTAAATAGTCTATTGTTACTGATTAAACACACAAACTGTATTCAAAAGTCCCCCTTTTCATGTAAAGATAATCAAGTCAACCAACAGTTGATAGTTGATCGAATTTTATTTTATTTATGGATATTGTTAGGTCCTGGATAGACCGTATTGCTATACCGTATGGTATGCGCTCAGAGATAGTGTATATCAGATGTATACTAGGCTTATAGCCGAGGTCCCAATCACTGCGCACAAGCAATAGGCTTCTAGCCAAGGGGGTGGGTGTGGGCAGTATTCGTAAATAGGTCAAAAGTGTTTACCTGGGATCTTTAAGCTCTTATTTATAGGATTACCTTCCTAAGCTTGAGCCCTTTGAGCTACCCCAATTGCAGTATGATTCAACTCCCTTTCTATTGGGATGTGATCCTTATCTTGTGCCCTCTGACTGTTATAGAGTTGTTAAGATGCTCATGAATCTATCTCTTAATAGATTCTTAGATGGGTAGTTGGGATATGATATTCATATCCATAACAGTTGCCCCCCAGCTCGGCATATCGAAGCTCGGAATGCCGGGGTGTTTACCGGACATCTCGGATCTGATTCGTCCGAGTTCATTGTTTTTGGGATTGTGCATTTGAAAATTCGACGTTGCGACCTTATTCGGGATTATTTTGTTGAGGTCCGACCTATGCCTTTAGACCTTTCTTGACCCAAATTTCAGTTCGTCGTGTCTGGCCAGGTTAGTGTCCTCAACCTTGCTTCTGTGGCTAGGGTCGTGTTCGGGGATGTCGGATGGGAGATTTACTTCCCGGGTCTTGATGACTTCGCCGACGTCTCCTTTGTCGCGTTCGTCCGATGTGTATACCTTGGGCGTTACATTGCGAATGATGCCATGTCTGGCCCTTGCCTAATCAACGTGACCCTTCGCTTGCTTCTGACGGTTAAGAGTTCCACGTGTCTCACTCCCATTGCAGGTTAGCGCGTCGTGGAGAGCGCGCCGTTCTGAACCCACGTGGGTCATGATTGCACGTATTAAATGCAACAGGGGGAATTTATCGTTTTGCCCCTATCTTCCTAACCGTTTGGCATCTCTTTGTATTCACGCCTGAGTGTTTTTCTCCTTTAAGTATCAATTTTTTGAACCAAAACTGAGTTTCCGTTCCTCCTGGGCTTTCCCCTCCCATTTCTGATTTTGTGCTTTCCAAGCTTTCTTGGAGCTTTTGTCACTTCCAGTGAAGGTTTTCGCACGTTGAGTCTAGTCTTCATCATCCTCTCTTCAACATTCAGGTACCTTCTTATTCCTTTACTTTTACTCCCTTTTTCGTTCGGTTTAAGTTGAGATGAACTTAGTAGCTGTCCCCGTTTGAAGTGAGGGTAAGGTTTACATTTCCTTCTTCGAACTGTTGAGGGGAGTTTTCTGCTCTTTCCTTCATCATTTTTTTTTGCTGAGCCGAGTATGGATGGCCCTGGGTCATCTTCGGGCCTGTCATCTGGCCGAGGTGGTGAGGAGGATGAGGAAGTGGTGAAACAGTTGCCTCGATCAATCCAGTATTGGTTTTATGGTAGAGAATATACTGAGGAGGAGAAGCTTCAACAGCTTCTCTGCGGTCCCCGTGGAGGTCGCCGCAGTTCCCGTGGTGGTCGAGGTAGGAGAGGGGTAGGTCGGTTAGGAGGGGGTCGTCGATCTCGATTTAACTTTGATGTAAGCAGTCCTCCTTTGGTGAATCCTTCAGCTCCTAAGTTGAGCTCCTCTCCCGAACCAGTCCCTCTGTCCTATATTTTGCCGCCCTCCCAGGTCCGTTCTGGATCGGATCCCTCCTCTTGGTTTGAGCGATAGTTCTTCCAGCCTTTCTTCGACCGAGTTGGGTTTCCCTGAATTGGTCACCCCCTCTTGCCTTGATGATTCGGCTTCGAGTCGGATGTCGTTCGTTGATCTTGTCAGCAGTTCTGATAGCTCCATCCCTTTTTCTTGGAGTCCAGATTCGTTGCCATCCGATCTCGGCGATCCGGGGTCGGATTGGGATGATTTTTGTACTGATCCTAACCCTTCGTGTTCTAGGGCCGTGATCATGGGAGATTCTGACGTTCAGAATTGGGTTCTTCTTGAGATCCTCCAACTACGATCCACCATGACACCTGCCGACGTGGCCCAACTTCCGCTTGGAGACCCTAGCGGGGTTGACGTTCTTCCGCTGGTGATCATCCGGTATGCGCAGGTCCTATCTTGGACGAGCCTTATTTCTTTTATTTCTACCGTGATCTGATTACCAAGTTAGGGATTCGGTTTCCTTTTACGGAATTTCAAATGGCCGTGCTTCGACGTCTTAGGGTTGCGCCTTCACAACTTCATCTCAATTCATGGGCTTTCGTCCGAGGTTTTGAGCAAGTGTGTGCCTACCTCTGCTTGCCTTGCACAGTTTCTCATTTCTTCTTTCTTTTTGATGTATATACGGCCCGGACTGGTGCCGAGGCGAAGGAAAGAAAGGGGTGGGTGACCCTCCGAGGTACTCCAGGTAGGGGTATCTTTATTCCCTACTCCCAATCTTTCAAAGGCTTCAAGAATGCCTATTTTAAGGTGGCATCTCGTTCTGACTCCCCTCCCTGGTTCGGCAGAGAGTGGCTGGACGCCAGGGATTTGTCTTGTCGGTTTGAGTTGTACTGGACGCAGAAGCATTATCGAAGGCGTCCTAGGGACTATGCCACCCCTTTAACCGCTCTTTCCAGCTCGGAGAGGCTGGCGGTGTCCGTGTTGATTGAGTATGCCGATGATTACGGTGTTATTGACCTAAGTCGGATTGTAGATAAGTTTGGGGAGGATGCCCTTTGTGAGCTCGGTATGTAGTTCGTTTTTTATGGTTTAACCTTTCTGATAGATTTATAACTTGTATTCTGATTTTTGTTCTTCTTTGGCAGTCAGTATGACCTCCGCCGAGTACAAGAAGTTTCTGCCTAAGAAAGCCGGGAAAGGGAAGTCGAAAGACGCTGCCTCCCTTGAGTCGGAGGTTTCGAAGAAAAGGCGGATTGACTCCATACTCGGCAGAAGCTCGGCGAGCGCTGAGGTGGTCATGGTTGATGTTCCAACTCCTCCCTCTTCTCCAATT